CCCACCTTCCATTTATCACTCGTATCCTAGTCACAGTGCTTCACAACTGCACTGTTGTTGCTTCATGTTTTCTTTAGAGAGCACTTTATTGGCTTTATTTGAATTAAAAAAAAAAAAAAATCAGAGCTCTGAAAAGTGTATTGGTTTTCCAAAGCCGCAGAGCCAGCAAGAAACTAGATAATGACGTATGATGCAGTGATTTACCTAATAAGAACGAAGTTACAGCAGTTCCAAGGGTGACCTTGGAGGAGAGTCCAGCAGGATTGCACTTACTTCCACAAACGTGCTCCTGTCGGTGCGAATGCGCGCCGACGGTGCAAACATTCCGAGGCGCCCGTTACTCACAACGTCCGCAAGAACGGGGAAGCAGTTCAGTCTCTTGGTATTGCACGCCAGTGAGAACTTATAATTCTAAAATATAACAAACAAGTGTATAAATTACTAAAGTTGTTCACTGTGTTCTAAAGATGGCAAAATTCAAAATTTTAACTTGCGTGTGGGTTTGTTTGGTGCTGAGTTTTGAACCCAGAGTTCTGCGTACTCTAGCTCTGAGACACAGCTCAAGATATTGTTTTAGGTGTCAAATTAAATAAAAAAAAAAACTATAAATAGTGTGTCAATGAAAGCAAACACATGTGGGGCTGGGGGTTAGCTCAGCAGTCTAGGCGCCTGCTTGGCAAGCTCAACAACCTGGGCTCGATCCTTGATATCATATGCCATGCTGGCTCACGAACCCTGGACTCACCATAATCCCAGCGTTGGGAAGGCTGAGACAGGAGGATCGCTACAAGTCTGAGCTGTGTAGTGAGACTCTGTACCAAATAAAGAAATAAAAGATTCTTTAAAAAATTATAAAAAAGCTAAGACCCGTAGAACAAAAAATATATATTTAGGCAAAATATATGAGGCATGAAAAAACATGAATGTTAAAAAATTATTATATTAAAAAACATACTTTATTTGCCTTCAAAACACTCCCTTTTTTTTTTTTTCTTTTCAGTATGGGGGCTTGAACTCAGGACCTTGCACTTGGTCCTTTTGCATCAAACACATTTATCTTACCATCTTCGCCACATGCTGAAGCAACTGTGAAAGTCCTATTTATGAGTATCATTAGTTGTGCTGCGGCGCCCGCCTCAGTGTCCTGAGTAGATTAAAAGCATTTATTCATTTTGACGCTGGTGAAGAGACGAAGTTACGTCCTGCTAGGAGCCGCTGGCTGCCAGAGCCAGTGAACAAGGCGGACGCAGACGCGAGGAGGTGTTTCCACGAGCCCGCCTTTCCCTGAGGTGG